GCACACAAACACTCACACTTTTTTGGCTTCCTGGCACAGCACATGCGATTTGCTCACAAGGCTGCTGAACAAACTACAAATCACCTTGTCTAATCAGATGATCAAGTCCCAAAGCAAATGAGATCAACCAAAGATATCACAGGTCTTCCAAAATCTTAGTTAAAATGCTGTTGAGACTGGAGAATACTTCGGACATGCCCGCCACCTGGTGTTTGGAAAACAACCTCATGTCTGAAAACAACCCGAAATGCTCTTAAATCTGTATTCTCATTAAGAAGCAAACAAACGCTGATGTATTTAATACTGATTTAAAGCATAAGCAGCAGAAGTGTCGTTAGGTTGGTGTTATTACCAGGATCTGCCTAGAAAGAAAAGGAACAGGGTGACCTAATGTTCCTTGCAATCACATCCCTGCTAACCACAAAAATTCTCAAGTAAATCTTTGAATTCAGTGTATTTACACATCTCCTGTCAGGAAAGACACTTCTGATGAGAAACCTCGCAAGCACAGCCTTATACAACTTCACAGTCTGTAAGGTACAGCGTGCCAAACCCAAAGGCAAAGGGAAGAAGTTAAATGAGGTGGAGCTACATAAAAAAAGAACTAGCAATAAAGAATACTGTAAATATTCTGCAGAAAGTGAGTAAGGAGGCAGTGCCAGTAGTTACGTTTAATGACTGTTAATGTGTCTGAGCTAAAATACTTAAAACCCCAAGTCTGTGTAGTGGAAGTGGCAATGACACTTAACTGCCACTTTTGTGTGTTTGATGCGTGAAGTAAACGTTCCTCATTGGCAACATTGATAACGTTAAGCGTAGAAACTGAGATAAACCATGTTTTATCTTTACCTATGAAAGGGTTGCTTCAAGTGGGATCTAAAGCTTCAGTGCTTTACTGTGCAATTCTATGATGATAAAACTGTACCTTTAGCACAGTCAGGGTTGGGTTTTTCCCCCTTTTCTTTGCAAAACGAATTGAAATACAGCTGTTTCACCATTGTAACTCAGGATGAAACCACAGTCTAAAGTCTGAGCAGTTTAAGTAGCTAGCATTTAAGTGAGTACCCTGGCAAGCATGAACTGTAACTGTTTGTCTGGAATCACTTCTGTGAAGGGCTGCCAAAGTTAGAGTGTAGTGTTTGGATTTTTCTTTTTCTTCAAGGCAACGGAGGTCAAATACAACTGTGTCCTTTGGTGCCCCACTCTATTCCAGTTCTAGTAACTTTGAAAATGATATGCACTAGAAGGTCAACACTATATTGTACATTTACTGTGTACTCATGCTATCTCGGGTGCTTGCATCAACACCTCTTTTCACAGCAGAGCACATAGATCCAAATATAACCTACCCATTAACTGGGAAGCAGGGACTTGCATGGAGAGAAGGCAGCTAGCTCTAGGTTTACTTGTGAAACGGAGGGAGGTGGGTTTTTGTCCACAGTTATTCTCAAGCCGATGTCTTAAACCGCGTAATTCTCATGAACCTTTTTTCCAGGATTTAATTACTGCCTAATGCAGGGCTCTGGCTTTCTCAGCATCTGAAAAAAGTGCTTTCTAATGAAAGCACGGAACATAAGAAAGAACTTTATAAAGCAGAAGATATTCTTCCTGTTTTCTATCAACAGTAACTGCTCAGCACAAACAGATGTTAGAATTACTTTTTTGCCTTAGTATTGATGGGGAGACCTAATGACTCTTGTATGATCTTTACAGAGAGCACAAAGGGGAGGAAAAAGAAATACAAGAAGTTGTGGAAAAATGAGATAAACCCCCACTAATCACAAGTAAAAATTACCTCATTGGCCTAGCGTGTTGATGGCTACTAACAGTGGGGCCAGGATCACTGCTCCTGTGAAGGTGAGTACTAGGCTGTTTATGGGATGTTGAAAATATGTGAACAAAAAGAATACTTTAGGCTCTTATGAAAATGTTGGATTCAAAAGGTATCACTGTACTCTTTTCTGGTCTGTTCAAGCCTGTTGCAGCAGACCTGGTTTTGTTAGTCACAGCTCTTGCAGGACCTCTTTAATATTCCATCTGACTTATTCTACATCAATATTATTTAACTGTCAAATACAAAGATAGTAACATTGCATATAACCTAGTGTCACAAAACCTGTGCTTTCCATTCCTGTTTTTGTTTCAGCATGCACAAATGGACCTTAAAAATCTCCTCAGAAAATGGAATAAATCTGCAAGAAGCTAAAAGAATGTACTTCACACTAACTCTACTATTTTTTTCCTTCAAAATCTGCCACTGACGATCATCAAAGATAAGGAAGCAGCCAGATAAACACTTTGGATAATAAGATATCATCAAAGAAAATGGTATGGATATGATTTTACTTTTCACTGAAAAAAATGCGAAATACGTGACATTACACATGTAAAATGCATAATACACTGTGGCCCACACAAGTCTTATTTTTGGAGCCCAGCTCTGACAATGGCACATTCTACTGTACTGAAATTGCCTAGCATCTTCTTCAGCTGCTGCTTAAAAGGAAATTGGCTCCTGAATCAATAAACCAAACCAGTTAGGTAGCCAGAAAATTTGGATTTGCAGTGCTAGGAAGGCTCTGTGTGGACACACTGGCACAAGCTGCTCCCCAGTCTATATGCATATTTAATACCATAAGCTAAATATGCCAAATTTTAACAGTTACTAACAAAAAACTGAAGTCTACATGAGTGGTGAAACTGTTTCAGTTCTAAATCTTTACCAAGCCATGGTAAAAGCCAGTCATCAATTGTTTCAAATATGAAGAAATGCGTGCTTTGTTCTCAAAGCATCGATAGTGTTGTTTTCTGTGTGAAAGGGGAGGTGGGATGTTTGGTTCTCTGATGTAGAGTTTACTGCAAGATGGCATCTTGAAGCTGTAGAAAAGATGCCCAAGCCTTTTCAAAACCTGGGGTATCACCATCCCTGTTGGGCTCTTTTACCTCTACAAAAGAAAAAATCCAAACATGGAGATGTTACATGCAAAAGAACATTTACTGATTTTTCAAGGTGAGCATGTGCTGGTTACTTACATACTGGGCTTGTGTGGCAAGGTTTTGTAGCAGAGGGGCTACAGGGGTGGCTGCCAGAAGCTTCCCCCATGTCCAACAAAGCCAATGCCAGCTGCCTACAAACAGACCTGCTACTGGCCAAGGCTGAGCCCATCAGTGACAGTGGTAGCGCCTCTGGGATAACATGGTGTCGTGGTTTAAGCCCAGCCGGCAACTCGGAACCACGCAGCCGCTCGCTCACTCCTCCCCCTGCCCTTTTCCTTCCTCCCCCCGCTCCTAGAGGGATGGGGCGGAGAATCGGAGGAATGTAACTCCCACGAGTTGAGATAACAGCTCTCCAGTAACTAAGGTATAATACAAACCACTACTGCTACCAATAATAATGATAAGAGGAATAACAAGGGAAAAGGACACAACCGCTCAC